CCCCAAAACCCCAAAACCCCAAAACCCCAAAACCCCAAGAATAATTTATAAAATAGAAATATATACTAAGAATATAGGAAATTTCATAATGGATTCAGAATCAGCAAGCAAACATAACCTCAAAGTAGCAATAAGAATACGGCCGATGCTCCCTCGAGAGGTAGAAGAGGGCTATGAAGCCACCCGACTTTCCGTGATCAATAAGAAAGAGGTAGTGTTAGCTGGAGATCAAGACAAATAAGCAAAAAAAAACCTTCAAGTTTGATAAGGTCTTTAACACTGATGCTACTCAGACAGATGTCTTTGAAGGTGCAAGGATCTCTCAACTTGTCTCAAGAGTTACAGACGGCTATCACGCTACTATATTCGCATACGGCCAGACTGGTTCAGGTAAAACTTTTACAATGGAAGGCTATGATTATAAAAATAAGAATGATGGGAGAGCCAAATCAAAAGCACCAGTGATAAAAGATGATGAGAATATTGGGATCACCCAGAGGGCAGTAAGAGAACTTTTCCAGCAGATAAAATTCAAGAAGGATAAGACAGGAGTGCATATATCAGTATTCGTTTCATATCTGCAGATTTACAGCGAAAAAGTCTATGATTTATTGAACTTAAATAATCTTAACCCCAAAAAGAATACGAAGGGCTTAAGAATCCGTTGGAACAAGAAAGATCAATTTCTTGTTGAGAATTTGTTCATATTTGAATGAAAAACAGAAGAGGAGATCATGGAGCTGTTTCATTTCGGACTCAAGAATAAAATTGTTGCTTCTCATAATCTTAATAGCCAGTCCAGTCGATCCCATGCTATTTTCACCATCACCTGAGAAAGTGTTGACCCAGCAAACGAAGAGAATGTTGTCACAAGTAAATTACAGCTGGTGGATCTTGCTGGTTCAGAGAGGATAAGCCTCACAGGAACAAAAGGATTAGCAGCAAAGGAAAGTATTGATATAAATAAGTCGCTTTTTGTACTGAGAAAAGTTATTATGTCTCTGTCAGATTCGAAGAAATCCTCCAAAGATAAATCTCACATACCTTACAGAGATTCTAAACTAACTTCTTTACTCAAACAGAGTATTGGAGGAAATTCATACTGTCTTATGATTGCCTGTATTGCTCCTTCTGACAGGTTCACTGAAGAGAATATAAGCACTCTAAATTACGCTACAAGAGCCTCGAATATTAAGAACGCTCCAACTAAAAATATTGATCCCAAGATTCGTGAAATCAATGAACTCAAGAAGAAAAATAAAGCGTTACAGCTTGAGCTTCGAAATGCAAACTCTCATATTGAGTACTTGACATCTTTGACTCAGGAAGAGCTCCAAACATTTGGAACTAATTTAATACCGGATAATTTACCTGGAAGTTCAGGTCGATTGACGAAACCAGACAAGCTAGAATCATTATCTCCTGTAAAAAGTCGTGGTAATGGGGTGCAAGCAATTGCCCCAACGATGCCTATGCTTGAGTCAAAGAGCCAAGCGACATTCACCTCAATCGGTACATCAATAGGTGGATCCATCCCTACCTCACACATGACGACTGGAGGTATTACTACTCATACTGAAAAGATAAGCTCTAACAAGAAGAAGGGTAAGAAAAGGAACAAGTCAAAAGATTTCCTAGCAAAGGTTGAAAAGAGAGAATCTATTGATGAGATCGCCAAAAGGAAGCAGTTTGAGGACAAGATGCACATGATCACTAGCGAGATCAAAGGTATGAACATGAATAGAGATAATACCAATACTAATTTCAAGGACGCTATGACTAGAGTTACTGACCTCCTGAAGGTAAATCAAATGCTGAGGGATGAGACTAATTCTAAAGAAGAAATCATTAAGCACAAAAATGTTGAAATCTTCCAAATAAAAGATGAAAATGAGGAATTAAGGGATAAATTAGAGCTGATGGAAACTATTGTTAGTGCAAACAGGGATACTTATAATGAATATGTCGCCTCTCATCTTTCTCAACAAGCTGAGAAAGGAATGAGTGAGGAGTATATGGGGTTAGAAGAAGGAAAAGTTCAAATAGACTCGGTCTATGTTGAATTATTAGAGCTCAGAAATATAGTCAAAAAGCTTGAAACAAGAAATAAATTCCTTGAAAAGCAAAACATGGAAAATCAATATCAAATGCATTTCATAGGAAACAATGAGCCAAGTAGACCAATCATGAAACAAGGAGGTTCTGGGAAGAAAAAGGCTTCTGGTGCAATGCCTAAATTGATCAAGAATAATTCTGTTCCTGCATTTATTGAACCCAAGAATCCATATGGAGGTAGTAAGCCAAAGAAAAATAAGACTAAGAAAGTAAGTAGCTATAAAGGAATGACAGATGAGGACTTCTTCGCGTCTTCAGCCCTCATGAGGAACGGGGATTATGCCATGTCTAAAGATTCCTGGCAGAAGGTAGAATTGAACTATAAAAAGAATCACCTACAATCACCAGTAATTGCTCTGAGCAGCAGCGGCTTTAGCTCTGAGAGAGATCCAAAATAATGTTTCGTACTAATAAGTAGGTGTACTTTGTAATGCTTTCCAACTAGCTCTGACTCTTCTGTTGATCTGAGAATATTTTCATGGCTAAATGTTTAACCTCTCCCAAATCTGAAGAGAACCTTATTGATTCAATTATGATGAATAAATTTGGGGTTTTGGGGTTTTGGGGTTTTGGGGTTTTGGGGTTTTGGGG